CTCCCATTTACTAATTTGGACTACCCAATATGGTGGTCAGAAATTGGCAATATGGCCAATTTCACACAAACTAAAAAAAGATGCCAATTTCAAAATAGGGTCCAGGATAAACAAGGTAGACATTCGTGGTACTAAAGTAACATATGCTCTGTTCATTAGTCACATCTCTAGGCCCCTCTTATATTATTATTGCTTTCTACTTTGAATTTTTATTCATACAAAAAAATACAAAATTTACTGTTATGCAAACTACTGCATTACTGTAAAAATGGTATAAATAATATCAGGGCACTAGTGAAAGAATATTAGACTCCCCAGTTGACGTGTATTGGACGTGTGGTGCGATTTATTTACTCCTGAACATTGGTAAAAATCGAACATTTCCGCTACTTTGAGCTCAGTTTCAAGGTCGTTTTCATTGTCTAAGTAATGAAGATCATCTCTATTTCTGTAAGATGTTTTCCATTTTATCACCTAAGACCATGAAAAAGCGAATACAACGATAAATACTATATGACAAAGTCGGCGTTTTATTCCAAAAAAACGATCAGTTTTTTTTTCTCATTACACAATGTGTGCTGCAGGATTTTTTTTATGTGGTGCACACTGACCACACAGACCCATTCTCTCACATGTGGGCCTACCAGCTTTCTCCCGCTTGATTTGAAGCCGCTATAATTATTGAGTATATATACGTCAGAAACATTGGCTCGTAAGACGTATTTATACGTCGAAAACAGTCAAAGGGTTAAGGCAAGAGGGAGGTCGATTGCAAGACATATTAGAATGGTCATCGGCACCACAGACTGGGCATTCGGCGATAGATCTGCAACATTTCGCTGGATGGCCAAATCGCCAGCAATTTCTACACTGTTGCGGTGTAGGGATCACCTTTTGAACTTGTAACCGACGTCCTGCTACATAAACTGAGGATGGGAGCTCACGGCTGTCAAAAGTTAAACAAGCCACATTGCTAGGGTATCGTCTCCGCCCGTGGGCAGGAAGAACGTAAGTGTCTACCTTGAGGATTGGGAGATCTTGGAGTTCTAGCTGTTCAAGAATGTCAGTGCCACATGTCTGGAAATTTTGTTGAACTATGGTATGGAGCAGAATGACAGTACCACTACAAGAATTGAGGGAATGATGTTTTTCAATAGTGACAGGAACAGTATAGATATGGGAAAGACGAGAAAGCTCATGAGCCTGGGTAGCATTCTGTACGGTGATGATGCGCATACCGCTCTTAAGAGCATGAAAAGAAATATCTTACCAACATGGCGTAGGAGTGCCTTGCCATTACTGTGGTCAGAAAGATAGGCAGTAGAGGAAGTCGGTCGTAAAGTGAAGAATTTAGTCCATTGTGCAGTCTGAAACTGAACGTGGAAAGGTAGTGAAGGACGTGTCGATCTTTTCTGAGAAGAATGAGAAGGTGGAGAAATATCATCAGCAGGTAATTGTCGTTGGTGTTTAGACGTGGGACCAGAGTTGGTCCAACGTGGAACGGGCCAGCGATTTGAAAACTGCCGCACCGTAGAGGGAGAGGCCGGAAGCATAGTCAGAGGAGAGCAAAGGTCAGATAAATCGAAGGAGTCAGTCGAGGCCTCAGTACCTGAAGCGGGTGAGGAAACAGCACCGGCAAGAGGTACAGAGGCATGAGGATTGTCCGAAGAGTGGTCCAAAGATGAGGCGGGGTCAGAACGGGGTGCGGTATCAAGAAGGGGCACGGGGGTAGCAGGTTCATGGACTAGGGCTGCCATGGTTAGGTTACTTCTTTCTTTTTGTTTTTAAGAAAAAAAAAAAAGAATAAAAAAAGGGGGGACCGGGGAGGGATAGTTTCTAGGAGGAATGAAAGGGCCAGAAATCTCCCTCCACGCCCAAGAGGGCCTCAGCACCGCAAGTAGCGCAGATGCAGCATGGAACCCGTGCCATACCCTACCCATCATGCCAGTAAACCGGCAATCCAGGATAGCAACCTCACATCTGCCGAGCTACCTCGGTGGACAAAAGAGAGGGCAGCCGGAAATCCGCCACAAAGCATACCTCCTTCGGCCACCACCCCCGGAATCCGAAAGGTGGCTTCCAGAGATACACCCATCGCCCGAGAGACACCCAAAGCCACCCTTCGGGATACCGGAGAGGGATCGGGACATCCCCAGGTAATCCAGATTCCACGGCAAACTACGCCACCGCCAAGAACCTCAACGGAATGGGATGGAACCCGGTACCCTTTCCCCTACCTAGGAACTAGCGTGCCTGTGAGAAAAAAAAATCCCAAAGGCCAAAAAGGAAGGGAAAAAGGGAGGGGTGGGGAGGAGGAGGAAAGGAAAAAGGGAGGGGTGGGGAGGAGGAGGAAAGGAAAAAGGGCAGGATGGGATAGGGAACGGGGGATTGGGGGGTAATTAGGTTCACCATGCCAAGGAGCCCCCCTTGAAGAGGTACAGGGGCTGTAGAAAGGTCCAAAGAATGGTTTGGTAACACGGCAGGGTCGTCAGAGGGTGCTGCCACAGGAAGGGGCCCAGGAGGTGGTGGTTCATCAACTTGGGACTCTATGGTTAGGCGACCTTCCAAAAAAAAAAAAGGGGGGGGGGGGGGAAAGTTGGGCACTCCCAGGTGAGACAGCAGGACCCGATGCTTATATTCAAAGCCAACGGGATAGCACCTCCACTAAGACCTCAGGGACAAAAGGAGCGAGTGGAACCTGAACAAGCACACTCCTGTGGCCACGACACCTGGGAATCACACTAGACAGGCAGAAATCACCATAGAAAGAAAAGTGGAGGACGGAGAGGGATCAGATGCGTTAGATGATCAAATCACGGCAGATCGGAGCTCACAAGGACCACGAGGCGGAGTGGTGGAACCTTCAGGTTTGGAACTACGGAAACCTAGGGAACAACCTCAAAGCAAAATACGAAAGGAAAGGAGTGGGAGGAGAGAGGGGAGGGATGAGGCAACGAGATGTAATTAGGTTGTGTGATCATCACAAGACCAGAAGGTCTATTCCTCTGACCACCATCTCTTCACTTCTCAAGAGTCCCCCTCTAAAGGCAAGATTAATTAGCACACTGATACAGTTGGATGCTCACTAAGTCAGTCTCCAGTCCAGTGCTGCTCTCTCCTCTCTCTCTCAGTCTCTCTCTCTGCTCTCTCATCTCTCTCTCTCTCAGTCTCCTCTCTGTCTGTCTGAGTCTCCTCTCTCTCTTAGTCGTCTCTCTCTCTCTTAGTCCTCTCTCGTCTCTTCTCTCTCGTTCTCTCTCTAGTCTCTCTCTCTCAGTCCTCATCCTCTCATCTCTCTCTCAGTCGCTCTCTCTCAGTCTCTCTCCTCAGTCTCTCTCTCTCAGTCTCTCTCTCTCAGTCTCTCTCTTCAGTCTCTCTCTCTCAGTCTCTCTCTCTCAGTCTCTCTCTCTCTCTCTCTCTCATCCTCTCTCTCAGTCTCTCTCTCTCAGTCTCTCTCTCTCAGTCTCTCTCTCTCAGTCTCTCTCTCTCAGTCTCTCTCTCTCAGTCTCTCTCTCTCAGTCTCTCTCTCTCAGTCTCTCTCCTCAGTCTCTCTCTCTCAGTCTCTCTCTCTCAGTCTCTCTCTCTCAGTCTCTCTCTCTCAGTCTCTCTCTCTCAGTCTCTCTCTCTCAGTCTCTCTCTCTCAGTCTCTCTCTCTCAGTCTCTCTCTCTCTCTCTCAGTCTCTCTCTCTCAGTCTCTCTTCTCAGTCTCCTCTTCTCTCTCAGTCTCTCTCTCTCAGTCTCTCTCTCTCAGTCTCTCTCTCTCAGTCTCTCTCTCTCAGTCTCTCTCTCTCAGTCTCTCTCTCTCAGTCTCTCTCTCTCAGTCTCTCTCTCTCAGTCTCTCTCTCTCAGTCTCCTCTCTCTCAGTCTCTCTCTCTCAGTCTCTCTCTCTCAGTCTCTCTCTCTCAGTCTCTCTCTCTCAGTCTCTCTCATCTCAGTCTCTCTCTCTCAGTCTCTCTCCTCTCTCTCAGTCTCTCTCTCTCAGTCTCTCTCTCTCAGTCTCTCTCTCTCAGTCTCTCTCTCTCAGTCTCTCTCTCTCAGTCTCTCTCTCTCAGTCTCTCTCTCTCAGTCTCTCTCTCTCAGTCTCTCTCTCTCCAGTCTCTCTCTCTCAGTCCTCTCTCTCTTCAGTCTCTTCTCCTCTCAGTCTCTCTCTCAGCTCTTCTCTCAGTCTCTCTCTCTCAGTCCTCTCTCTCTCTCAGTCTCTCTCTCCAGTCCTCTCTCTCAGTCTCTCTCTCTCATCTCAGTCTCTCTCAGTCTCTCTCTCTCAGTCTCTCTCTCTCAGTCTCTCTCTCTCAGTCTCTCTCTCTCTCAGTCTCTCTCTCTCTCAGTCTCTCTCTCTCAGTCTCTCTCTCTCAGTCTCTCTCTCTCAATAATTTTCAATGCAGTTTGGTCAATAAAAAAAAATCATTACATTATATTTGCAGAATTTTTTTAAGAACTATGTAAATCATTCGTGAAAAATATATACATTAGGCTGTAGTATCATTTACACCAAAATAGAAGGAATCAAACATTTTCTACCACAGTCACTGGGATTTATTAATTCAGAGTCGAATCAGTATTAACCTAATAATTTATGTCATAATATCCCTTTCAACCAAAGCAGATCAATTCTGAAATATTTAAATGACAAAAATCATCAATACAATGTATCTACCAGTTTCATCTATAGAAAAATAGAATACACCAAGGCATAAGTAGACTTCAACTAAGACTGCAAGCCTTTGCATGTACACCATTCTGAAAATAAAATTCCAAGTCTTCTTTTATAATTTGTAATAAAGTTCTTCTTTCTATCCATGCTACTTTCTTTATACTATACTACTATTAAAATGTACACTAGAATAATACATACATACATATGAAGCTATATTAAACACCAGGGTTGATATATATATATATATTATATATATATATATATATATATATATATATATATATATATATATATATATATATATATATATATATATATATATATATATATATAATATATATATATATTTTTTTTCAACTATCAGCAAGTCATGTGTCAACACGAGATATAGTCATTCAAATCACATCCTTCACAGGTTTATATCACTATTTAGTTTTCAAAGGAACTAACCATTAACCCATTTTTTTGTTTTGCTTCCCTCAGCATAGGCATAAAAAGAGAAGGAAGACTTATTATAATAGTAGTACTATTATTACAAAAGTATTACATTAAGTGCTAAATTCACACTGGGCACACAGTACAGTACTGAAATTTTATTCTCCATACACTAATCTCGAGTCAAACAAGTTAATCTCACAGCCAGACTTTCTATGGAGGGAGGAACCAAGCTTTAAATCACGAGCAATTTAATAGGAAGATGTCCAGATTTTTAAGTTCATTAGTGCAGGGAGCAGCAGGGCAATGTGACAATAACATCATACATTCATTACTACCAAGTAAACAAGCCTTACATCCTCTCCCTAGTTATCATAAAGATAAGCATTTTTATAATTTCAATTTTAATACAGTAACAGTAAGTTGCCGCCAATATACAAAATACAATGCAAGGTGTTTTTATTAATTAATTTTGTACTTTTGCAAACCAATTAGAAAAAGTGTTTAGCTAACAATCTGTCATGTCACAGGAACTAAGCACATTTTAAGTAGCAATATACCATATTTTCTGGCATATAAGGCATGCTCCACCCCCCCCCCCAAAAAAAAAAAAAAATGACCCTACGCCTTATATGGTCAGGGTCAAGGTTAGGCTTTGGGTTACACTTTAGCAGTTATTTATTAATGTTACATTGGAAACACCATATGTCTTGTATGCTCGTGTGCATTATACGCCAGAAAATACAGTAGCTCAAATTTCAATAATTTATTGAATTCATAAAACTGATGCATAGTAGAACCCCCAAATTCACAAGATTGTGATCAAAAGGCATATTGCAAATAGCTTTGATTATTAGATTATTATTATTATAATCAAAAAGAAGCGCTAAGCCACAAGGACTATACAGTTTGATTATTAGAAATTTTTGGTGGTGTTGAACCTTAATTTGAAAAGAAGCATTAGATGATGTCACTTATAATTTGATCAATGGCTTTCCCACACCCAAATCTCTCTTCTCCCTAGATATTCTTTCTTGTAAATGACCCCTCGATACTGGTGAGGAGCTCTTGATCTAAGGAATTGGACCTATGCTCCAATTCCTTTAAATAAGTCTGAATGCCTGCCATTTCCCCAGATGCTGTATGACCCCTACAGGTTTACCACTCCTCATAAATGTAATAATGTAATCCTATTAATGTTAATAATGACCAGATTAGAACAATATCTAAAAGGTCTGTGACTTCCAAAACATAAAGCCCAAATCTGATGCAAACCTTATTATACAAACATTATTTGGCATTTGCATGTTTCACATTCACAAGATCCCCTAGGAAGCATAGCCTAGGTAAATTTGGGGTTGAACTATACAGTCACAAAAATTAATTAAATAAGCTGAATTCTTAATGTATACAAAATGGTCATGATTTGAACTGAATTTGTTCTCAAGGTAGAAAGGGGATGATGCCAACAGTGTTTCAGTTTAACATCCAGCAAGTGTACTTAGATGATCTGGTCCGCAGTGTCAACTCTGTGCTACTTGACTAGAGAACGAGTGGCTGCCTACAATCATCAGGGAGTCAAGAACAAAACTGCAAATAAAAATAAAAAAAAATAAAAAATGAAAGCTTAGTGTTTCCTTCAGATTAAAAAAATTCTCTTGCTGAAAAAGTAAGTTTAAGGTGCTTACATACAGCAGGCAGTAGGCTGACAGACAGTAACTTTACTGTTCTATCAAATGAACGTGAAAAGGAAAATTGTTATATTCCTGGCAAAATAGTAGAAAGTGCTGATATTATCTGTGTCTCATCATAAACATATCAGATAACAGGGATATCTTAAACTTCTACTAACATTTAGTACACACACATCTTTTATTTTCTTCAAAGTTCTTAATCCTGTAATATTTCCTTTCCAACTAAGGATGCCTAGTCTAGGAAAGGTCAGGTTACAGACAATTCTCAGGAACAAATACAATATGTCAGCAAACCTATTTTTAATATCTTCAACTATTCTGAACATTAAATAATTTACATTTCAAACAGATGAAATGCTTTGGACATTTTTTTTTAGGATGCTCATGTATACAAAGAATATACCGGGCATGAAACAAAGTCATACCAGTGAATCTTTCATTAAAGTTGAATAAAAGAATGATACATATGGCATGTTCTATTTAAACATCAAGCTAGAGAGTGGCACCTTAAAGCATGGTCACCAAATCTAATTTTAAATATATTTAGTGTAGCTCGTCTCTCAGGTACATAGTGTTTATCTGTAACCCCTTAACTGTGTACAACATACTAGTCCGCAACTGACAACTGTGTGTTCAACATACAGTCGACCCTCAACTAAAGGCAGCATTAAGTAACGGCAATTTCGTTTAACGGCACTTTTTGTCGTAGAAAAAATGCCTTAACGGTGAAAAATTTAACCAACGACGTTTGTCCGGAATGTGTCGATGTGCCCAGAGCGTGGCCTGAGCGGGCCCAGCCACTCCAAGAGTCAGTGTGCCATTGTTTACAAGATGTTGTGGTCAGTTTCCACGTGTGCCTCCCGTATATTTTGGATTATTCCACTATTTCTAGTGCTTGTAACTGCTAAATAAGCAACCATGGGTTCCAAGAAAGCTTCTAGTGCCAAGCCTGTGTTAAAAAGGGTGAGAATTATGATGGAAATGAAGGAGATCATTGCAAAATATAAGAGTGGAGTGCATATGGCTGAGTTGGAAAGGCAATACAACAAATCACATTCAACCATCAGTACTATCTTGGCGAACAGACAGGCAATCAAGAAAGCTGTTGTTGCAAAAGATTCAAGTATGTTTTCAAAACGGAGACCACAAATAGTTGAAGAGGTAGAGACACTTATTCGTATGGATAAACGAAAAACAATTATCAGGTGATACTGTTTCTCAGTCGATAATTTGTGAAAAGGCAAGGAAGTTGCATGATGATCTCATTAAGAAAATGCTTCAAAATAGTGCTGCTGCTGATGAATTTAAGGCCAGCAAAGGCTGGTTTGAGAGATTTAAGATTTGTAGTGGCATACACAGTGTGGTAAGGCATGGTGAGGCAGCCAGTTCAGACAAAAATGCGGCTGAAAAATATGTGAAGGACTTTAACCCTTTGAGGGTCGACAGGCCCTCTCCGAGACTCGTTCTCAGGGTTGGCCAAATTTAAAAAAAAAAAAAAAAAAAAAAATTCTTATGAAAAGTTGTAGAGAATCTTTTCCCGATCATAATGACACCAAAAGTATGAAATTTGATGGAAAACTTATGGAATTATGCTCTCGCGAAGTTAGTGGTCTCAGCAATGTTTACGCATCGGCGATTTTGCCCACTTTCAGCCCCATTTTCGGCCAATTTCACTGTACTAGTCGACAAAAAACATGAATATTTCGCTAGAATTCCATTTTTTCTATTGAATGAGTGCAAGAAAACACCCATTTACCAATTTCAACTATCCAGTACAGTGGTCAGAATTTAGCAATTTTGCCAATTTCACACAAATTTCAAAAGATGCCAATTTCCGAATAGGGTCCAGAATAAACAAGAAAGACATTACTGGCACTAAAATGACATTTCCTCTGTTCATTAGTCACGTCTCAAGGCCCCTCTTACATTCTTTTGCTTTCCAATTTGAATTTTTATTCTCACAAAAAATAGAAGATTTACTGTTATGCAGACTACCGCATTAGTGTAAAAAATGGTATAAATAATATTGGTGCACTTGCGAAAGAATATTAGACTCACTAGTTGACGTGTATTGGATGCTTGGCATGATTTGTTTACTTTTGAACTTTGGTAAAAATCGAACATTTCTGCTACTTTGATCTCAATTTCAACGTACTTTTCATTGTAAAACCAGTCAAAATCATCTCAATTTCTGTAACATGTCTTCCATTCTATAAAATGAGACCAAGAAAACTAGAATACAACAATAAATACCACACGAAAATACAGTGCAAAGTCGCTGTTTTATTCCAAAAACACGGTCAAATTTTTTTTTTCTCATTATGCACTGTGTGCTGCAGGATTTTTTTTATACTGTGCACACTGACCACATAGACCCATTCTTTCATATGTAGGCCTACCAGCTTTCTCCCACTAGATTTGAGGTCGCTAGAATTTAGGCGTACTAGTACGTCAAAAACCCTGAGTCATAAGTCGTACTAGTACGGCCGAAACCCTCAAAGGGTTAAGGAATACACAGAGACTGAAAACCTAAAACCTGAACAAGTGTTTAATTGTGACAAAACAGGCCTGTTTTGGAAGAAAATGCCAAACGGGCCCTACATTACTCAGGAGAAAAAGGCACTCCCAGGACATAAGCCTATGAAAGACAGGCTGACGTTAATGTTGTGTAGTAATGCTAGTGGTGATTGCAACGTGAAGCCTTTATTGGTGTATCACTCTGAAACTCCCAGAGTGTTCAGGAAAAACAATATCGTTAAGGGTAATTTGCACGTGCTGTGGAGATCAAACAGTAAGGCATGGGTCACTAGGGTATTTTTCTTGGACTGGTTTTATGGTGTGTTTGGCCCCACTGTGACAAAATACCTCCAAGAAAAGAAATTGCCACTCAAGTGCCTCCTGGGTATGGACAATGCTCCTGCTCATCCACACGACTTGCAAGAGGAAATTGCAGGGGAGTTTGGTTTCGTTAAGGTGAAGTTTTTGCCTCCTAATACAACTCCTCTCCTCCAGCCCATGGACCAGCAGGTCATTTCAAACTTCAAAAAGCTCTACTCAAAAGCAGTGTTTCAAAAGTGCTTTGAAGTGACCTCAGACACTTGACTGACCCTAAGAGAGTTTTGGAAAGATCACTTCAATATCCTTATAGGCAAGGCTTGGGAGGGAGTGACTAAGAGGACCTTGAACTCTGCTTGAAGGAAACTGTGACCAGAATGTGCAGAACAGAGGGATGTTGAAGGATTTGGGGCTAACCCTCAGGAGGCTATACCAGTAGTGGAAGCTATTGTGTCATTGGGGAAGTCCTTGGGGTTGGAGGTTTGTGATGAGGATACGGAAGAGTTGGTGTAGAACGATGAGGAAGAACTAACCACTGCAGACCTGCAAGAGCTTCAGGAGCAACAGATCACATCTCAGGAATGTTTTTCAGAGCAGGATGAAGAGAGACGGAGGAAGATGACTTCATCAAGGATTAGGGAAATGTGTTCAATGCTTACAAAGGTGCAAGCATTTATCGAAGACTTTTATCATGTCACCGAAGTTGCAAGCCGCATTGGCAACATGTACAATTACACTCGTGTCCCATTTTAGGGAAATCCTCAGGGCACGTGAGAAATAGAGCTCTCTGGACAGCTATTTTGTGTGACAGGGGTCCAGTGACTCAAGCTGGTTCTAGTGGCATTAAGAAACCAAGGAGAGAGGTAACCCCACCAAAGGACCTGGTACCTGAAGTCTTTATGGAGGGGAATTCTCCTTCCAAGCAATAGACAATTCTGAATTTCCCCTGCTGCTAGCACATCACTCATCAACAACTCCACAATAAAGGTAAGTGGCATTTAATTGTTTATTTTGCATGTCCCATTCCTTTTCATATAAGGAAATGTATATTTCATGTAAAAAAAAAAAAATTCAGACTTTGGGGTGTCAGGAATGGATTAATTCTATTTCCATTACTTCTCATGAGGAAAATTAACTCGACCAACGGCAATTTCGACGAACGGCAAGCCCTCTGGAACGGATTAATTCCCTTGGTTGAGGGTCCACTGTTCTAGCATGCAATGGACAATTGTATCCAGTGTACTTGTATGCACAATTTTTCCATCTTCAAATCTGTCTCCTGCCATTATTTTTGACCCCAACACAACTCTCTGGGTCTTCTACAATATCTTCTAACTCTTAAGAAAAAAAAAAATACTGCCAGGAAGATCCACACAGTGTATCATGATTAACTACACAAGCGATGACTATATTACCTGGAGTTTACCTGGAGAGAGTTCCGGGGGTCAACGCCCCCGCGGCCCGGTCTGTGATATGTCCAACATACTCTCAGGCCTAACTAGTCTAAGCAAACAATGAAATCAGAAGCTGTCTTCCACCACCGGCTTCCCTACCAGCAAACAGGGTGTGGTGCTGGCACAACGATAACTTATTCATTACAAATTTATTACAATTCCATGATACTAACAGTGGAATTTAGCCACAAAGCACACCAAGTAGAATTAACTCAGGATAACCCAGTAAAGATAAACAATGTGACCTATTTCCATACCTTTAGGAGTATTAAATTTGAAACAATTGTAATATCAGAATATTTTGTTGTAAATATATGTTTTACAGTAGTCTGGAAGGCACACAAGTGTTATGGACATACAATGGTTAAATAAAGCAAGGTTATTCCCTCAAACCTCTATAAATAACAAAAATAATTAAGCTAGGATTATCCAGTAATTGAACAGTAAGACTTACTTCCATGTTTTGAGCATTATACCTTGAAAAAACTAATATTACATTGAACATTGTGTTAGATGCCCAAAGTAATAAAAAACAGAATTAAAAATAATTATTGCACTAATATATATTATATATTCCAATTGGAGCAATATCAGGCTAAGTACTTTCCCATGTTTAAAGTACTAAAAGACCTTGAAACATCTAATATCGTAAGAATCTTGTGAACATAGTGTTAAACATTAAAAGCAATTAAAGTAAAAAACACTCAATTTGGCATCAATAAATTGTAAAACTTAAATATCGCTGGCACATTTATGCTGCTGTCAACTGATTATTTTTTCACCAACTTCAGCACACCACTAAAGCCTATGTTTTTATCAGCTTCCACTCTCTGTAATTTTGATTCATAAAAATACACACTCATTCTACAAGATTTTTTTTTTCACAATCTTGCCCCCACACAGGATCCCCCTCCCCGGGTATGCCACAGTTAAGGGGTTAACAAGACAGAAAATGAGAAAAATGGAGAACTTATTAAGTTGCTGAAAATTACAGCATTTTTAGGCAGGAAGGATCTTGCATATCATGCTAATGATAGGCTTCAGAGTCTTAAAATTTTAACTAAGATGCATAGATTTATCATGGTCAAATAAAATTACTGAAATCATGTTTGAACAGCAGCCAGGCTATCTCACACATTGTCAGTACCCAAACTGGTTTAAATACTACATGGTACACCTATGATAAAGCATTTGTGCAGTGACAATCAAAATCAGAATTCTTTTCACTCACAGCAGATGTAACAAAAAAAAAAGCAAGCATCTTGTTCTTAATAAGGTACTTAAGCAAAGGGTAAGTTGAACATTAAAATGGTATAAAATACCGACAGATTGTTAGGTAAGACACATATGCAACGGTTAGGTATCTTTATTTCGAAACGTTTCGCCTACACAGTAGGCTTCTTCAGTCGAGTACTCGACTGAAGAAGCCTACTGTGTAGGCGAAACGTTTCGAAATAAAGATACCTAACTGTTGCATATGTGTCTTACCTAACAAAGGGTAAGTTAACCTTTTCACTGTTGTGACCCCTGAAATTCAATGTTCCATCAGTGTACAATTCCCTCCCCCTAAAAAAAAGATCAAATACCTTCTACAATGGTACAGAATCTCTTTCCACAGTAATGACAAGAAAAATCTTTTGGGAAAACTTATGGAATTACACAGGTGCAAATTTGGTGGTTTAGGCACAATTTATGTAGCAGCAATTTTGTTCATTTCAAGTCCTATTTTAATCCAATTTCAATGCTCGATTCAACTAATTCCCAGCTATTTCACTAGAATGCATTCTGTTATATTGATTGAGAACAATTAACAACCCATTCAACTATCACAGATACCCTATAACGTGCACAAAATTCAGTAATTTGACTAATTTTAAACAAAATTTAACAAATTCCAATTTAAAAATGTTCTAAATAAACACTGTAGATTCCAGCCACTAAAGCAATATTTTCTCTCTTCATTAAGCATGACTCCAGTCTCTAATTTACTCTCTATTTCACATCCATCACACACAAAAAAAATTTACCCTATGTCGTGGCTTAAAAAATATAACCAAGAATGATCGGTCATGGTTTAGACCATCCCAATAATTGAAACAGACCTAGCAAAAAGCCATAAAACAGACTATGGAGGGGGAAGGGCAAGAAAGAGCAGCAGAGACATTACACTTCCTCCAGGATAGATGGGGGGAGGGGAGAGCAAAAATCAAGATACTTTGAGGCCTCTTTCATTCCACTTCTGGTTTGTAACCAAACAAAATTATCTCCATTTCAGCAGTATGTCTTCCATTCTATCAGCTGATGTCAAGAAACACCCAATTAAACCATGAAAAATCATCTCAGAGCATGCGTCAAAATCACCATTTTAAACTAAACACAAGGTCTGAGGTTAGCTTTTTCCCATCATGCACTTTGTGGGGCAGGACTTTTTTTTTTTTTTTTAATACTGTGCGCACTCACTACACAGACCCATTCTCTATGTCTAGGCCAAAATTAACCACTTGCAGCATATCTGAGGGCACTATGATCAAAAGAGAGCTACATAAGCAACCCTAACCTCAACGTTAATTTACATGAGTGACAGTGAAAGGTTTAAGGAACATTTGATAGGTCATTACATGGTGAAGCTTTAAGCAACATCTTTGGCAGATTGAACTTAAACAAACTAGGCAAATGGTTTAATTCGTCAGACTGAATCGCTCAGTGAAATAGAGCGAGGGTTATGAGTAGTTGTTGTAATGGCATACAAGTACAATTAAAAAAAAAAAAAAAAAAAAAAAGAGAACCTCAAGCACTCTATATACACTGCCATGCACAAATTAAATACTATTCTTGGTGACTACATTAGAATCATTATTGCACATTCCTCACATTGTAAATTTTCAAATAAATGACCAAGAACTCTACCAGCTTTAAAATACAATTAAAATTCCTGACCATTTTTATAAAATTTTTTTTTTTTTTTATCTTGTCTCATTTCAAAGCCTGGCCCTAGTAATGGTACCATTCAACCACCTCCCCAGGATTTAGCCTACAGCAGTCAACTAACATCCAGGTATTTGTTTAGATGAACAGTTGTCCATATATTTTGCCCAGGATGGGGATCAACCCCACAACCTTTCACTTGAATAGAAAGCTCTGGTTACCGAGCTATAAGTCATCCTTGAGCGAGCTATATAATCAACTCAAACTGGTTATTATTGTTTCAAAAGTCAGGCCATGCTTGGAAAGTTAACATGAAGTTTTAGCTGTACTGTCAGAAGGCTTTGATAAAAATATGTCCGCTGAAGATTTAATATGGCAAGTCATACTTAAATATTTTTAGGCTAATGAAACTAATAAAAAAAAAAAATTCCAAGAAGAAATTTCAAACCATGTGAACTGAAGCAGAGTACTTTTATTTCCAGCCTTTCTGATGCAGTCAATTAATCTGAAAAAGTTTTAAGGTTAAAAAGTCAGCATAATTTGTGACTCAGGGCCAAGACAATTGCCACAATGAGAAAATTTTTATTGTTATGCTGCCATCTTTTGATCTAATACATACTGTATTAGATCCATTTTTACAGAGCTTGACAGGAACCTTTCTGAAACATTGCCATTTCTTTTGTCACTGCAGTCTCTTCAGAAGATTGGTACTGATGTTCACATAAAATATGTACGTATGTATACATACATGTTCTCCATGGGGAAGTGGAATAGAATACTTCCTCTGTAAGACATGTGTTGCATGTCATAAGAGACTAACATGCTGGGAGCAAGGGGCTAGTAACCCCTTCTCCTGTATACATTACTTAAGTTAAAAAGAGAAACTTTTGTTTTTCTTATTGGGCCACCCTGCCTTGGTGGGCTATGGCCGGTTTGTTGAAAGAAATTGTGTGTCTCCTCATCTCTTTTCCTTTCCTATTTTTTCACTGCCTTTCCTGTCTTCTGCTTAGGTGGGCTCTGTCCTATGGGGATTTTGTTCTGGGATTTGGTCCTACCCTCACAGGCTGTTAGCTCTCTTACAATAATTCTCTTTTCTCTAGTTCTTAGATTACCTCCACTACTACTACTATCTCTTCACTAAGTCTCTACCCTCTTTCCCCTTTTTTCCCCACAACCAATATTGCCTTCTTACTTCCACCACTACTGCTACCACTAATACTATTCCCTCCTTGTTTCATTACTCCCGACCCCACCCTCCCCCTCGTATATATTCTGGCTTCCTTCCCTTCACACTTGTGTGTGACTAGTTAATGGACCATTTAGACCAAAAATAACTTCCTCAGTTTCAGTCTCCTAGGTGCAGGTTATTTGTGTATTGTTTTAGTCACGGTATTGTGCCTTTTTTATTCTATACTGGAAAACCATATAAAAAGTTTAAACACAAGCAATTATCAAGAAATAATACATAGTTGCATTATTTTAAAAATAGTTAAAAAATTTTTGTAACATTTTCAAGGCATTCATCAATTACTTTAGCCAGTGTCTAAAATACTATAAAAAAAATACACAAATATAACAAGAATAATGTACTACTATTGACATACTGTATCAATACAAATATATGAAATACATGAAATGATTCTGTAACAACCTACTTTTGATACAGAATTATAAATAACAAAAAGGTAAAATTAGAAATGGCAGGTCGAGAATTTTGCACAAAACTCATAAAAAGGAAGTTCTTAAAATGTAATTTGAATAAAACTTTAGTCAACCTCAGCATCTTAAAGTGTAGTTGCCCTTCTAACATTGGTGCCCAACATGATGTGGAAAGAATACCTGGCAGAACACAATAAAATGGCAATGCATTCTTTACTCTAGAATATGACTGACTAGTGCTTCCCCTGCTCTCATCTCCATCTCTTCATGCAACCTATATTCATTTTCTTGTACCCCCTCACCTTCATCATCAGTGTTCAGAAGACTCAAATCCTCATTTTCTCCGTCATCTGGCAAGGGTATATTAGCCCCTAGTTCTGTCTCAATAGACTCGGGTGGTGGTCGAGCAGCATCAGTCGAGCTGGCTTCAGTATTTTCATTGGAATCTGCATCTTTAAGAGTGATGGGAGCATGGCACATGGGACATTTATCTTGTACATAGAGCCATTTTCGTAGACAAGGGCCATGGAACAAGTGATTACAATACGTAGTGCGTGCTGAAGTCATTTCTGCATAGCAAATAGCACAAACGTCATTGTGTAACTGAAGTTGTTCTTGAGAAGCTTCTGGTAAGGCTGATATCTTTTTGGCTGCCTCTAATCTTAAGAGGAAGCTCTTCCATCCTTGTTGCAAACGTTGCCAGACATTAAAGTAACAGTGAATAAGCAAAACAACAGCATTGATCCATGACCACTGACCCGTTATTGACTCCTTCACTCCAGCACCCACAACAAACACAGCAACGATGAACTCAAACACCCTCGTAGTAGCTCGAGTGTAATACACCAAATCATCTAACCCTGGCCAAGGCTGAGCACATACTGCATCCCAGGTAAGAAGCACGTATGTTGCTAGTAAACCCAACACCTGCACAGAAGTCATGATACTGGTTGACACAACAAGAAGCAACCAAAAATCTTGCTCAAATATGAGTGTAAACATATATACCATGTAGAGTGGCAGTAGCAGAAGCAGCAGACAAGCAGTGACAGCACGAGCATGCCGGGATATTGAAGCTACACCCTGAGCACTGAGAGCCAAAACCACTGGTTCAACAATTTCATACATACTTTGAACCAGTGATGAAACAACAATGAGTAAGATTATAGACAATACTGCTAAGCGTTCAGGCATAGCCATACTCAAGAGTGAGGTCTGTACAGCTAGAAGAGCCATTGTGACTCCCTCTGTCCAGCCTGAGTGAACAAGATCATCTGGCAGTGGTGCTGCTCCAGGACCTGCTGTGTATGTTCTAGTGATGGATAAGATTATGCGAGAAGCATAAGAAACAGCAACACAGGTGCCAGCCAACATAAGTGGAGTATAACAAACCTCTGCAGCACTCTGTACTATTACCAAATACCACATCTCACTTGGAGCTGTACTTCCCATAGATGCTGTACCCACAGGCCCTGCTGATGACCCACTACCTGTTACAGCTGCAGCTACACTAGCCAAAGCACCACCTGATGATGTCACAACTGCTCCTGGCTTAGCTGCTACTGCTGTATTATGAGAAGGTAAATAATGATTGTATAGTTGAGTAGTGAAAAGCATTAACCAGAATATAAGCAGTTGTATAGGAACAAAGAGACGACTCCAGAGGGTAATTACAACTCCAACAGGTCCAAACATTTCAATCATCTCTACTAGAGTACTGTACATGTGTTTCAAAAACTTAAATACATGAGGAACACAAAGAAATATATACTGAACAGTCAAGAATATAACAAAACAAGACGCAAAATTGTGAGTCAGATGGAGCTCTGTTACCGGGAATCCAGCTAACCGAGCAAACACAGGCACAAGATACACTAATAGCAGAATCTGAAAAGAAGAAGTAACACATGTTAATCTTTATTCCAGTTTCTGTAAAGATAATAAATATATCTGAATAGATTATTACACTACTTCATCAATATATTTTTGATAGCAAGCTGAAGAAATAAAAGTAATGTAAAGTGATAGAGATTTTTTGACTATTTAAGAAATCTTACCTTATCTTTGTTGCATTCTAAATCAAGAAAGAAGGTTACAAATGTTGCCACTAGTGTGTGAAATACAATAGTGGCAACTTGTTGCCTCAGGTACAATGTTTCTATATCATTGTGAGGATCAAACAATGACTTCTGCAACATCAGCATATTTGAGAATCCCTGAAAATGAGAAAAAATATTTACAAACTGTATCATACAACCACATATTAAAATATATTACTTACTTCTTCATCTTTCAACAAACCGGTCGTATCCCACCGAGACAGGTGGCACAAAAAGAAAAATTAAAGTTTCTCTTTTTAAATTTAGTAATTTATACAGAAGAGGTTACTAGCCCTTTGCTCCCGGCATTTTAGCCGCCAGGTTACAGTGGAAGAATTCTATTCCACTTCCCCATGGAGAATATTACTGACATTCCCAATGAAAACTTTTTATTTAGTACCTCTTTCTGGTTAGCTAACTAAATCTTGCTTCAAAATTTTCTCTTCACGTACTAAAACCTTAAAATAATGCTTTGGTGAATTTGAAGTTTACTCCACACCTTGTTCAGCATACATGTGTTTACATTTGTGTACAGGACAGCCTCACTTATACAGCAGGTTAGGTTCTAGGCTACTGCCATAAAGTAAAAATCTTCATTAAGCATCTTTTTTTTTTTCCACTTTTAAATGCATATAAATTCCTGATAACATGTTTACATTATCATATTAAGTTAGCAATAGAACTAGGCCTAAAGAACAGTAAAAAAAGAAAAATGTATATACAATATAAGCATTACATGCCTTAAAATATTTTTGGCCTTAACAAAGGGCAGTCACGAAAGGGCAGCCACGAAATGAAACCAGCCTCTGCTAGCTTCTAATTTATCTTCAGCAGCTTCCTCACCTCTCTCAGCCTTCACAGAACTGAGGAGACTTAAGGCCTTGGCCTGGATAATGGCTCGGCTTAAAAAACACACGACTAATTTGATCGTCAGTCACGCCAATAAAAAAAAAGTTTTTCCATGTCAGAAATAAAGCTATCACATTTTCTTACAACTTTAGCATTCACTGGTGTAATAACTTGCAAACACTTGAACCTTTGGAAAGTTTCTAGACAGAACCAAGATGCAGAACTCACAGCAATGCCCAGTTTCACTTGTAGATTTTTTTTTTTTTTTAACATGTTGGCCATTTCCCATGGAAGCAGGGTGACCCAAAAAAGAAAGAAAATACTTTCATCATCATTCAACACTTTCACCTCACACATAATCACTGTTTTTGCAGAGGTGCTCAGAATACAACAGTGTAGAAGCATATACATATAAAGATAAACAACATATCCCTCCAAACTGCCAATATCCCAAACCCCTCCTTTAGAGTGCAGGCATTGTACTTCCCATTTCCAGGACTCAAGTCCGGCTATATATAAAAATAACTGGTTTCCCTGAATCCCTTCACTATATATTACCCTGCTCACACTCCAACAGCTCGTCAGGTCCCAAATACCATTCATCTCCATTCACTCCTATTTATCACACTCATGCACGCTTGCTGGAAGTCCAAGCCCCATGCCCACAAAACCTCCCTTACCCCCTCCCTCCATAACAGTGTTATTGTTTTGCACGTGCAGTCAGATTTATACATACTATTTCATGCGTATCAACTGGCTGTTCATACACGTTTATCTGCCATTATGCATACATTTGTGAAGCTTTTTTTCCCCAAATACAGTGGACCCCCACCTTACAATATTATTTCATTCCAGAAATATGTTCTAGTGCCGTTACTGAACGAATTTGTTCCCATAAGGAATATTGTGAATTAGATTAGTCCGTTTCAGACCCCCAAAAATACACGTACACAAGCACTTACATAAATACACTTACATAATTGGTCACATTGGGAGCTGATCATAAGGCAGGGGTCCACTGTATAAGCACCTTTTTGTATACAAGTTGTCTTCATGCTGCAATACATGACAGCAACACTCCCATTCTCATGTAACACACCCTTTTTGCGAGTGAATGACGCTATGAGTGAAGGCATAAGAAAAGATTGTTTTTCTACAGTTATACCCCCCAGTAATACTATACAGTATCTTTGGTGTTGTTCTAGAGAAAACATAATTCTTGCCGTCACTTTTACAAGCTGCTCGGCTACCACACCTCACAATTATGTCAATTTGTTTTACTATGACTATGTAGTTTAACCCTTTCAGGGTCCGTGCCATAGATCTACGACTTTACGTTGAGGGTCCAAACCGTAGATCTACGCCAAAATTCTAGCGGCTTCAAATTTAGCGCAAGAAGGCAGGTAGGCCTACATCTGAGAGAATGGGTCTGGGTGGTCAGTGTGCGCACTATAGAAAAAATCAGGATGCCTGCATGGCATTGTGGGAACGTCGCCAAAGTAACTTTGTTCATCATGCCTGGCGGCAAGGAAGCTCTCACTCTCCGGGCGAATTCTCACTCTCCTCTTTACAACTTACAGCTCCAAGACTGAGGGAAGTGGATCTGAAGAGAAATTCTATGGTACAATGGCACCATATGGTACAATGGCACCATGTCATATGGTACATTGTAACATATGGTGCATTGTACCATATGGTGCATTGTACCATATGGTGCATTGTACCATATGGTGCATTGTACCATATGGAACATTCTACCATATGCTACATTCTACCATATGCTACATTCTACCATATGCTACATTCTACCATATGCTACATTCTACCATATGCTACATTATACCATATGCTACATTATACCATATGCTACATTATACCATATGCTACATTCTACCATATGCTACATTCTACCATATGCTACATTCTACCATATGCTACATTATACCATATGCTACATTATACCATATGCTACATTATACCATATGCTACATTATACCATATGGGACAGGGTACAAGGACCCTAATGGAAATAAATCTGACTTGTTTGCGTTATCCTAGGTTCTCCAAACATATGCTGCTATGTATGATAATCTATGTAACTTTATTTGTGTATACCTAAATAAACTTACTTACGATGTCACATGCGCTTGAGTAAGTTTATTCAGGTGTACAAAAATACAGTTACATAGATTATCATACATAGCAGCATATGTATAAAATCCTAGGATAACCCAGAAAAGTCAGGGTGGCTTATTTCCATAGGGATCACTGTATCTGTACCACATGGTGACCTGTACTGTATGGTACCCTGTACCATATGGTACCATTGTACTATGGCACCATTGTACCATATAATACTATATGGCACCGTTGTATTCAACACAATAACCACATTAATATTTTCATCATTTTGTTTACAATAAACTTGTAAACAAGTTTTGTAAGCAATATAATGATAAACAAATTAGTGCAGTTATTGTCTTGAATACAATGAGTGTGCACTTATACAATATACATTATATTGGTCTCACAGGCCACAAAAGTTACTGGAAAAAATACATTAGAAAAGAGAAGAAAAAAGTAACAAAATCCTAAAATAAAATAATGTGACTTTATGGAAGTCGCCAATGTTGCCACCACCAGGTCATTGAGGGTCAACTTCATGCCTCTATATCTCAGTAATTACTGATCAAAAAATTTTTTTTTTTTTGGTTTTATTACTTACAGATAATTATCTTTTTTAATTCTGTAAGAAAAAAACAAAATTTTTTTATTTTTTCAAAAATTCTTGGACCCTGGCACACTCTTTGAGATTTGGCCTCTGGACCCTGAAAGGGTTAAATGATATGTAGAATGTTTCTTATATTATTTTGAAAAGCCATAGATTAATGAAAATGTCTATAATATAATATGACATTTAAAGTGCTCCAGAGCAAATTATTTTTATTATTATTGTGGAAGTGACCTGACTAGGTGGTCATTGTTCTAGGCCGTGGGGTGGCATGGACCTGCTTCACATGGGTCAGTAGGCCTGTTGCAGTGTTCCATCTTTCTTATGTTCTTATGTTGTCTTCAACACTAACAAGACACTCAGCTACTTCCTCGCCTGGTGCAGCTACTCCTGCTTTGTAACAATGTCAATGGTTATTTTAATGTACATGCATACCAGCACAGTAAGTTTATTTAGGTAAGTATAATTATCAGTAGTATCTCAGTCCTATCTCAAGTCACAGACATACCTTGCTCACTGAGCTTAATCATTTCAAACTTTGCAATTAAAGAAAGAGCCTTACAACAGCTCTTATCACAACTACCCTTAGATGTCACTGCAACACAAAAAAAATACAGCTAGCCCTCTACTTTCGTGCGTTCCACTTTCACGAGCTTCGAACATTCATGAATGCCCAGCCACCCAATCATATTTACAAATACATACATGCACAAATATTTATTTCCTTGTAAAGCTTACAATGTGTGGTTTACATGTTATAAGATTTTAATGACAAAGATGGCCACTATCATGCCTAGGCACTTTGGGTAGACTAATACTGTACTAATTTTTATGCTATTTTGATATAGGCTATATTTGAGCAGTACATATTTGAACATTAGGCATGTAATTAGATACATTCCCAGTTAGAAACATACATAATTAGGTTTAAAATAGTTAGGTGGTACAAATCATATAATAATAGTATTACAAATGGTAGATTTAGTAATGGATTCGATTTTTCTTGGCAAGATACATTGTTTCTATTAAAGCCATACTGGGAGAGTACCTTAGTCAAACTTAAGATTAACTTAAGCTTTAATAGGACTAACTTAAAATTTAATAGGCAATAGCTATACAGTGGTCCCTCGTTTTTCGTAATTAATCCGTTCCTGGAAGTGTGACTATTATCAAAATTGACAATTTTCAAATCCATTTTCCCCATAAGAAATAATGTAAATCCAATTACAGTGGACCCTCGACTAACGCTATTAATCCGTTCCTGAGAGCTCATCGTTAGTCAAAATAATCGTTAGTCAAGTTAATTTCCCCCATAAGAAATAATGGAAATCAAATTAATCCGTGCAAGACACCCAAAAGTATTGAAAAAAAAAAATTTTAACACATGAAATATTAATTTTAATACACACAAACTGAAGAAGACATGCACAGTTACATGACACTTACCTTTATTGAAGATCTGGTGATGACTGATGGGATGGGAAGAGGGGAGTGTGTTGATGGTCTTAGTGTTTAGAAGGGGAATCCCCTTCCATTA